AGGTAGATGACTGAAGTAGGTCAGATAAATTGATTTTGGCACAGCTTTTTTTCTCTCCTTTGACTACAAAAGGAATCCAGATTTCCTCTGATGGAGACCTTCATGTTATGGAGACATCTGTGTCTAAGGGTCTTTTGGAAAACCAACTTCTAGCCAAAAAAGCAAACAAAAACCTGTTCCTCTGGGAAGGAACTTTCCTGCATTTCACAACATAGTATAAGCTGAGGATGCATGAAAATAATTATTTGGGTTTTTACAATACACCTCAGTATTTCATTCATGATTAGCTGTCCTAGTGGGAAGCAAATTACTCCAGCAGCTCCCATATTCCTAAAACTAATGCTTCTTTAAAAATTAAGTGGATTTAAGATAATTTGCCTTAACAACAACGGCTGTAACTTTTCAGGGTTTCACAAAGTCTAGACAGTAACAGAAAGTCTTCTGCTTATGGTGGCAAATGAGTTTAGCTCTCTGCCTCTGTGTCTGGGGTATGACCAAAGCAGGTTGTTGACTAGCTAAAATGTGAAACAGAAAGAAATGTGGAACAAAATCAGCAACTCTTGACTCTCCAGGTGAGGCTCTTACATTACGCTCCATGCTTATTTTACACATGGCACATTCCTTTTTTTAAGGTGGGTAAACCAGTCCTGAATCACGCACAAGATGGTCGGTGTCTTCTGGTGTATGAGCCTCATGGCTCGTGATCTACCCTATCTCAAAAGGGTATTTCTCCCTTATTTTCCTGGACAGGGAAATAGACAAGACCCAAATTGGGCAATTCACTGCAGAATTTCTTTTCAAACTCTTTTATCCTCCAACTCACTCTGAAGGACATTTGCCATCATTGTATCATCTTGGATCAAATTCTAGAACCAACTTTATTCCTTGCAAGAGTTCCTTTTTGTTTTATTTTTTTGTCATTTCCCCTTATTTCTCCTCAGTTTATTCTAGAAAGAGAAAGTACAGAACATTATTATGTTTTCATTACCTTATTTTTCATTATTTTAATATCCATTTGATATGGAAATGTAGCAATTTGCTATAGACTTGATAGTTTGCAGAATGAGAAACCTCACTGGGGAAAAACCTAGCAAGGGTCATAATGAACAGCAGAGAAAATGAGGCAAATGACTGTAGAAAAAGAGAGAGGGAGAGCAGAGCTGGCTGTTACACAGCCTGGGGAGCCCACTTTTTTCTCTGGGACCCTCTCCTGGCTGTGACAGGAGTGCTGCCCAGTTTTTAACCTCCTCTCTCAAAGAAGGAGTCATGCAGAGCACTTGGATACAACAAACCACACTGGGATTAGTGCTGCATTTTCATGCATTACATACCAGCTGAAATAATCTGCATTTTTTTTTAAAGTACTGTGATTTGCAGTAAGTCCTTAGCGACCTGCACTTGGTGCTGGCTGAACATCCAGGGAATCTCCATCTTCTGCTACTCATGTGAATCAGAGGGAGAAACAACAAGCATGAGGATTGCTGGAGGATGGACCAGACACAGGAAGAGAGACTAGTGTATTTATTTTAATGTTACACACAGATATATATAACCAGCTCTGCAGCTGAATTGTGCGTTTAGTTTTACTGATAAGCCATGATTTAAACACTTCAAAACACAGTAGTGTCTAAAAACTCTTCATATGAACTTAATAGAATTGTCCACTTGCTGTCATGATGTTTTTTCCAGTACTGAACCTGGCATTAGGTCAGAGTATCACTCATTGTCAATGTGAGCAATTCTTCTCTCCTTTAAGTGCTTCCTTGCAACACATTTCAAACTGTCCACCTTTTGTTCACAGTGTGGGAGCATTACCCCTGCAATCCACACTTTTTGCTCATGTATTTGCATGTTTCCCAGAGGAAAACAAAACCAGAGAAATAAATCAATAGACAGTTCTGTCTAGGAAGTCACGCTTGATTTCAAATAAATATATTTTTATCAGACTAGATCACTTTGGGCAAAAGTGAGTTGTTCTCTGT